ATTTTCTGATCGTCGGTGACCTAAACCTTCCGCATGCTGATTGGCAGCATGCCGAAAACAGAGTGGGTACTTTAGAGAAGGAACTAGTAGATTGCATGCATGTAAATGCGTTCGAGCAGTACGTCAATGTCCCGACTAGGAGTCGTACTGGGAGTACCCCTTCAACCCTTGATATTGTGATCGCCAGACACGGTCACTTGATTGACCTATGCGTGGAGCCACCCATAGGTAAGAGTGATCATTGTGTTTTGACCTTGCAGAGAACCGTCGAATGGGAAGAGATTTAAATCGTATTGATTTTACGAAGCTGCGGGATCGAGCCCTTCAGATCACTTGGGTTCCTGAGCAGGACAAGGTCACTTTGGAACAGAGGTGGCTTCTACTTAAAAGTGGACTTGTACAGTTGCTGAATGAATTTGCTCCTCTTCGCCCCAGGAGACATCTTGGGAAACCCCGATGGTGGAGAAGAAAAATTGAGAGAGCGATAAAGCGGCGCAATGCTGAGTGGAGAGAATATCAAGAAACTCGGGGCTTTCGACGCTGGCTGCAGTACAAAAGGTGTCGAAACATGGCTATTAAGTTACAGCGGCACGCGAAGTACTCATATGAGCTTAGGTTGGCCAAATTCGCGAAAACTAATCCCAAGTGTTATTACAGTTATGTTCAGTCAAAGGCTTCTTTAAGAGAGGTCGTCGGCTGTCTAACCATGGAGGACAGTACCCAGGCTGTAGACGACGTCGATAAAGTAGAAGTGCTGCTACGTGTCTACCAAAGCCTGCATCGGAAGGATAGTGGGTCAGCCTTGCCATCACAGCCGCACTGCTCAACTAGCTACACAATGCGGGAAATTATTCTCAGTGTGCCAGAGGTCTTCACAGTGCTGGCTAGTTTGAACCCTTATAAATCAGCCGGTCCTGATAGCGTACATCCCGCCATAGTTAAGCCGCCGGCTGATGTCCTTCAGTATCCCGTAGCGGAGTTATTCAACCAGTCTCTTCAAGAAGGCAAGCTGCCACGTGATTGGAAGGAGGCGACTATTGTTGCCATCCACAATGGGGGTTCTAAGTCGGTGCCTCTAAACTATAGACCTGTTAGTTTGACCAGCATCATGCTGAAATGCTTGGAAAAGCTTATAAGGAACAAGATCGGTGAGCACTTGACTGAGCACAATCTAATTAGAGCGGAGCAGCATGGCTTTCTCAAAAAAAAGTCTTGTCTTACCAATTTACTGTGCTTTTTAGACGAGATTGCCCGTTGTCTTGATAGTGGGATATCGGTAGAGGTGTGCTATTTGGACTTCAGTAAAGTCTTTGACTCCGTGAATCATTGATTTTTAATTGAGAAGCTGACATGGTTTGGATTGCATCCTCAACTATTACTATGGCTCTCTGAATTCTTACGTGGAAGGACATTCAGAGTCAAGGTTGGGGAAGCGAGTTTTAGTGTTGGCAATGCCTACAGTGGTGTCCCCCAAGGTTCGGATCTGGGTCCATTGCTGTTTCTTATGTTTATAAATGACCTGGCACCTCTTCTTGAGGATCCCGGCTTCATCTTCGCAGATGACTTGGAGCTAGTCAGTAGGGGAAACCGATCGACATTGGCTAAGGACATCATCACTGTGGCGAATTGGTCAAGCCAATGGGACCTACCTCTAAATGCCAACAAATGTCAACTATTGACTAGTAGTGGTAGCGGAATTGCAATTCAGTCTTCTGTGGGATCTCTATCATTGCGATGTACTGACGAAGCCCGTGATCTAGGTGTCATCGTAGCGAACAATTTTAAGCCTTCGGCACAGTGTCGCCATGCTGCCAAAAAAGCACGACACGAGTTATTTCGTCTTAGGAGGGCGCTGAGTAACACTAAAGCAGAAGTATTCTTGCCCTTATATAAAGCAGTGGTCAGGCCACATCTGGAGTATTGTGTTCAGTCCTGGTCACCGTACCTCCGGAGTGACATCATATGTATAGAAAAAATTCAGAAACTTGCGACCAGGATGATTGAAGGTCAACGAGGGAAGTCTTACGAAGATCGTCTAAATAGCTTAGGATTATTTTCCTTGGAGCGGCGTCTGTTGAGAAGGGATTTGATAGAGACGTTTAAGATCATTAAGGGACTTAGTGGTATTAGTTCCACCCATCTGTTTGAGTTGGCTACGTCAGACCATCTGCGCGGGCATCGCCTGAAGCTCAAACATCACAGAGCTCGTTTGGACATCAGAGCAAAGTTTTTACGAACCGAGTAGTTAACTACTGGAATAAACTTCCTTCTGATTTAGTGGAGTCTGAGACCGTAGCAGCCTTCAAAAGGGGCTTAGACAATTGTTGGTCCACCCTTTTTCCAGAGCTATTGTAGTTGTACTGGTATATTAGTGTATCTTGATGCTGGCATATGAAAGTGCAGAGACTGCTCTTGTTCTTGCATCATTCCATTGTAGAAGCAAGAAACAATCCAACGTCGAAGTGCTGGGGGCCGATTCACTTACCGGCACAAGAACTGGACGCTCGTTAGGCGGAAGCCTCTATTGTCCATCTGACCTGACCTGACCTGACCTATTTCATCGGACCTGAAGGAGGTCCAGTTAACTTCGAGAAGTTTCAAAAGACGAGCCTATAAGAAACCGAATTTTATTACAATAGCTGGAAATTGTGATATCCTAGCTGGTTAAAGTTTATTAGGCGTTGACTTATATTAGTTATCTCCTGATTTTTACAGAAAATCAAAACAGTAAATTTGGAGACACTGCCACAAAGAGGAGCAGATTCCGTTACTAATATTTTTGCGACTGCCACGTCCTGATAGTTCATTTTGCTCAAGCGCGTGACTTATGTATGTTCCTTTTATCAATCAACACCATTTTTCGCATTTCCTCCTCTATATGCATGAGTTGTAAGTCTGCGATTAACTTTTCTCCTTGATTTTGATGGTATTTATGGAGTTCAGTATTGCAGATAGTTTATCCATGTCAATGTCTCGAGTATTTAGGAATCGAATTGCTTTACTTACCATCTATCCACGTCGAACACTTTTTAATCGTATGATATCAATTGCAGGTAGGGAACAGCATATGTGTACTCAGTCAAAATATGAACAACGTTGTATTTTGTTGATGATAAGCTTTGCTTGGCTGTTTCCACCCTCGCTAGTAGCACAAAGTTTGACAGGGCATATACCGCTCATTCAATCGAACAAGACGTCTTGACATTTGTTTCTACATTCTCCGTTGGGAACTACCATGTATCCATCAAGGACAATTAGATTGAGGCGTTTGCATTACTTTACATCCAATTGGGTAATGTGGTAAGCTTAGGCTGAATTGACTACAATTATCTTTAAGCAACTTGCGTATCAACTTTTAATCTATAGGAGGCGGGAACAGCTTTTACTGAATTCGGATCTTAGTGAGCGAGTAGGAATGTTGTCCCGCACGATGAATTGCTAGCATCTAACCAGCTATTCAGAGTGCGCACTGTAGGGGCTAACCTTCGCACCTGTATCTATAATATGCGGCCGCTGCCAAATCTAAGGAACAAAGTTAAGGTCGATGTAATAGGATACGCACCTTTGTTCAGTGGCCCAGACATCTTCATCACCGGCTCTCTGCTCCAGTTTTAATAGCCGAAAGCGCGTGCTTCTATCATTTCCTGCAGACCACCATTTCCGATCCCAAAGATCAAAGTGCGAACATACTGCTCACGTTATTGTCATCACACAGACGTGAGGGTTGTTGGGAACCGCATACAAAGTGCTCAGTTGCCGCCAGATCCAGTTGTGCTTCTAGCCATTCAAGTGGCTTCGGTGTAGTCGTTCACTGTGCCTACCCAACGTGGTACGCAACACACAAGCGCTTTGGTTCAACATACTAGCAATACTGGCAAATGAGATGTGTTCAAAGCCAAGCTGGCACACAATGTCTGACTTTGAATTAGCTGCCGACGCAAACATCGCTGAATTCGCTGCGACCGCGCAGGTCAGCTTCATCTTGCATATGAAAAATAGCAATGTGGAAGTTCTTAATTGCTAGCTAGTCGCAGCAGCTTTTGAATTTAGGTAGTCCTCCAGATGCCTTGTATAGCACAAGACGGCATTTACAAGGTGTCGGGCTACGTCACTTGCGCGCATCCATGGTTTTCTTCAAAATGCAAACCTATGATCATAAGCAAATGCATTGCCAGTTACGCCACTTGAGCTACGGAACACAGAAGAGAACCATCATGCTTTACAAGCTGTCTAAGATACAGCTTACAAAAGCGAAATACTGTTAGATGGTATAGGATTTCGTGGACGCAAATGGCGAACATAAAAGTGTAACAATCCTGTGGAAAATTTTGTCCTCACGCTTAAGTCGGAATGTACATACAACATAATTCCTCCAACAACGTTTGCAACTTATTCTACTCATGCGATTCCTGCCCGCAACTAGACAAAGTGCAGTCACAGTAAGCGCAAGGTGCCAATAAGTTGGACTTTAATAAAAAAGCGACTTGCATGGTTGTCAAATTACACTCGAAATAACATCGAAGGCTATCCTTTGAACAATGTGTGGATATCTTCCGTCTTTCTGTACATTTGTTGGAAATATGTGAAACTTGAATACAATAAGTTGTTGGAAACTAATTATAATTTTATTAATTAGGAGGGCGGAAACATCTAATACAATTTTACTAGGAACTTTAAATACTGTTTAAGCATCACATTTAGACTACTCGCAAGCATTTTAACCATGGAAAATCGCTCTTGTCTAAATTTTACCGCAACTGTTTTGGCATAGCCAAAGCAGATAGATCTGATGTTTGACTGCGTTCATTTTATTAACGGAGTAGAACTGGAATACAGGGCATATTTCTTGAGAAAATGTTATATATGTATATATATATAAACATCATTTCATTTTTCGTCAACCACACCCGCTCAAAGAAGAATATCATGTAAAAAGTGGCTTTTTCGAGCAGGTAATTAATGTTAGATAACTTTACCGATATGTATATCTATAGACTTACTTGCATTCGTATTCCGACAATGTATGTTTGATCAGCCTGTAGTATTCATCCGAGTTTAAAGTACTTTTGCTTGATTGCTCTTGTAAAGCAACGACCACTTCACGAACTGTATCGTTCCGGTTCACTGTACACTGTTCTGCTAACTTCTCTTGCATCACGAGACATTTGTCTCGGTGCTCCCGGAAAACTGGATTAAAAAGACAATGCATTCGTTCTTAAGTGTGTTCCAATCCAAATTATAAAATGTGTAAATTACAGATTATAGCTAAATAATGTTTTTCGTTTAGTTTGAAATGTAAACTTATAGTTTGAATATTATTACTTTAGACCGGATTATACGTATAACTGGCTAAAGTTAGGTCTGAAATGTATTTAATGTTTCCAGCAAATTTATTACTATCTGATTTAGTCAACTTAGTATACAAAATCTTTCTTCTTTTACATCTAACAAAAGGGCACACAATGGTTGTTAGGCATATTTCAAGCCAACTAACAGAACAGAAATAAGATCCAGTTTTGTGGTAAGAATATTGATGGTGCGCCTTGTCAGGGCTTTATTTTTTAACTAAATGCTTTGTGAAATAATTAGACATTTTTGAATGCAAATAATCTAGTAACTGCAATCCAGTTATTTGTGCTGCTTTTGTGCAAACCTCGTAATAAATAGAAAAACGCACTGGGAATAATTTGGCACTTAAATCTGAAATAATGTTGATTATATCTAAGTGTATATACGTTGAAATATACGCTGCAACCCTCATAAACAATACACTATGTAAGGTAAAATACTAAATTCTATGTAACAAGTAGTTGAAATGCTACTATTACAATTACAACTTCTTAGACAATTTCCTGTTTACATGTGATCAGTAAAAGCTGCTGCCGTTCCCGGAAGAGTATGCATTATTTCAGCTCATATTCTCACTTGTTAAGGAGCATTTACAGTTTTTTCTATCGTATTCTATAAATTTCTTGCATATACATGCCCTTACAGTTGTAACTAACTTTATTTAATTAGTTGGTTCCATATACAAATGATACCATTTTTATCAATAATGAAGCGCCAATTTGCAGCTCATCTTAGGCAATTTAAATCGACAGACAATTTAAAAAATATGATGCATTTGGCCCGATTTTTAATAGTTTGTCCCATGCCAAGAACAGAGAAATTATGATCCTGTTAGGTTTGGTAATGCCCATGTGTTATTCTGCAACATTTAGCCATCCAAATGAAAAATATCTGAATGCAATAGCTAAGTAAATGCAATAGTTTATTCAGCACTTACTTCGCAAATTATGTTCGTGACAAATGTAAGCTGCGGCTCGCTCAAATTTATCCGTCTCTAGTGATATAGACCAAATGAGCTGCCGAGTCATTTCCTCTTCATTGTTTCGACATGTTTCTTCTGAACGTTTTCGCAAACATTTGAAGACGAGTATATGCCATTTGGTTCTTCAATAGTGTTACGGAAGAATAAAAACATTAATAATGTTTACGTACTTCAGTCTATTATAATGTGCACAAAGCTTGACTTCTTGTAAAGAAGGTCGGGACATTTAACGCCGGATTGTTAGGTAATTCATCTGAAACACATCCATTTTAATTATATTGCGAGATAAAGGCACTAGAATTTTGTCAAAGAATGTTGCCGATTAGGCTGAGACCATTTGAGAAGTACATGTGTAGCATATCTGGATTAGTTTAAATGGAAAAAGTTCTTAAGAACTATCATTTTGCCGGATAGTGCGGTCAGACATTGGCTTCATTCGTGTGGTTTCGCAACGGAAGGCAGGATGCTTTAATAGGCATTGAAGCAGGTTGAGGTAGCTGCAAGTTTGTAGCTCAAATAGAAGAAGTACCATTTGTTTTAATAATTTGGATCTACTGATAATTATTCAATGGCCGACAATACGACAAGGTTGCTTTCTTGGGATGTCTGCACTTTCCTAACTTTCAATATTTGCAAGTGACTGTACTTAGCAAAGATACAGGAAACACGGGTCACCAGGACAACACGAAAAGCAGTTTAAACGTAGCAAGTTAAGCATGTATAAAGAGAAACCATGGATTCCTGGAGCAGGCAAAACGCTTCAAAAAATACTATTTTAGTAATTGGTGTGATTACACGCCGGTGGTAAATACTTCTGCGGTAATTCATATAGGCACTAATGTAAAAGTACTCTAGCACATCGAATCTAGATAAATGCGTTACACAAGCGCACTTCCCTCTGTTATAGCGATTTCCTATGCCAGAATTTTTATGCACCATATCTAGATTAGTTTTTCAGAAATTGAATTTGTTATGCGGCAATCATTTCACGTAGAAATCGCTTCTTGCTCCTAAGAAACTGAGGTTCATGGTTTTGATATAAAATTTAACATCGGCATAAAAAACACATTTTTGACTTCCGTTTCCTAAGACTAATGAGTGTATTACTTATAATGAAGATTGGCCTTACATAAGGCATTTCCTTAAATGTGTTCTTTTGTCTGCTTAAATGTTTGGTTGTTTGATAGCTTAGTAGGTACAATGTTATACGCTTTTAGATAACATTTCAAAGTTAGTCGATTTACCGAACCATTCTCATTCATGATATCCGATTACATTTTCGAGTCACATAATACCATAAAGTAGACATTTTTAGAATACTAATAACCCAATAAAGGTACACAGTATCAAAGATTTTTGATGCTTTTATTATGTTTGATGTACTTTAATGGATTCGTACATAGTTAAATATGTATGAATCGGAATACACTTTTCTATATTCAGGAGACGGCCGGGCCTATGATAATGCAATGATAAAGTGGTCTTATCGAGTAATTGTTAATGAAGAATCGTCTTCAGCTAGAGGGAATGGGTCAAAAATTCCAAGCTCGGAATCCCAGCATTGCTCTATATGTGCCCCTATTGACCACGATAAAAGAATACTAAGTTTTCAATAATTTGGATGGCAAGTGAAATTGCAAACATATTCAGCCTTATCCTAGTGCGTTACACATCAATAACAAAACGCAAATAATCGTAGCTTGGCAATACTAACTGAATTATTCGCTTGTATTACCAAATGGTTAATGGAATCAAAGGTGTTGTACAGATGTCTTACCTACACATGGCTTCCGTTTCATTTAGTGATCCGTAGCCGAAACTGTAGCCAGTGAACTGGTTTTTCGGTATTTGTACTTTATGTCTTTGTGCACAGTAGGCCAACTCTTGTTCCAGTTTAAAACAGTAACCCCGAACAAAATGCACAGCCACATAAGAACCAAAAAGTAGTAGCAGCTCTGTGAGAAAAAGGCAAATGAACCCGAAACGTGCAGAACTCTCAACATGAAGAATGCTGAAGAGAGAAAGTGGTTTTTCTACAACCTACGTGCAATTAATAAAATAAAAGTGACTAAGGAAATACGAAGAATTTCCTTGCCCGTTGAAATACGCAACGGAAAAGGACAGCAAAGTTGATTACGCCCACCATCCATTTTAATGCAAACCGGATGGTTGTCAAATTAAACTTCGTAAATAATATCCCATTGGTGATTTATAAATATATATATATATAATCCCAGTCAAATTAGACCCTAGATTTTGTTTGAATT